ACTTGAGAAGCTTCCAGATTCCAGGAATTCTATAAACGACAATTACCAATCTAGTGACTAAAAGAATTCTCAACAAATTCACCACGTCTCCAACTTCCATGAATTTTGCAAACGACAATTACCAACTTAATGTCGAAGAAATTCCCAACACGTTTCTCAACTAAATATTCCTACATTATACTAGAATACCCACTACTCCACTATACTCGTTCACAAATTTAAAAAGCCTCCAGTTTCCACAAATTCCACAAACTACAATTCCCAATTTAACCTCAAAAAAATTCCCATCTAAATATTTGTACAATGTAACCACATCACCCACCATTTCTCCATACATTTGCCCAATCTCCAAGCGAATCCCCACGAATTCCACAAACTAAAACTTCCACCTCCACCCTCATACCAAAACAAAAAAAAAGAAAGAGAAAGAGAGCAAGAGAGAGAGAGGGGGGAGGGAAGAGGCATGTTTCTATTATGTCCCGTCTTGCACGTCGTCGAGCGTCACCACCGACAGGATATTCTTCTCTATTTCACATCAGCCGTGGGATGCCTCCACCCCCGCGGAAATTGCGCCCCTTTTTATCCGTCCTACGTGCCGTGCCTCTCACATCGGCCGTAGAAAAAAAAGCCTCGGAAAATACTGCCCCCCTGCGGGCCTACTACCATTTTCCCTCTCGAATCTCACACACACATACGTACACACATCTGTATAAACGTACGTACGTGTAGATGCATTGTTGACAAAAAAAAAAAAAGGAACCCAGTGACGTATCCGGGGGTTGGAAAAAATTCGTCGAAAATCGCGCACACCACTGTCCAGACAGTGATTCACGGTACACTTTTTTTTTTCACCCGACTGATTCACCGTTCTTTTTGCTTCCTCTTTTTTTTTTTTTTGGTCTTTTTTACGTCGAAAGGTAGCACTGGACACGGAGAGTCGGTGAAGTTTGAAAAAATTCCAACCGCCAGGTTGGTGCCACTGCAGCCTGCTAGCTATTGTTGAACGTTTAACCCCCCCTTCCCCGTCGAATATGGTGGTGTGGGTTTAGGGGTTGACGCGATATCGAGATTGATGGCAAAACGATGATCGAGAGTTAGGTTAGGTTTTGAAATAGAGGAGAGGGGACAGAGTTTGGTTGATGTCTTATGGAACAGAGAAGGGGAAACGTGGTCTCTGCAGACGTGGAACAAGTTCTCTTTTGTTAGATCTGGAGGAGGCTTTCGTTGCGGATTTGCTGGGTGAAGAGGAGGGATTTGGAGGAGGGTACACGGATTCTTTTTTCGATGGACAATGTTTTCGTTTCTTTCTGAATCACTGGGGAAAATTCAGGTTATTTTTGTGTGAAATTATTTTGCTATGGGAGCAGAATTGTTTCGTAGCGTTAAATTTTCCTCTCAATACTGCTTAACAAAACTTCGAAACGTTCTTTGACTTCCACAGAATAATAACACTTCTTAGCAAACTTAACCTCAAATTTTCTTGAAAATTCCCCCCTTTAATGTAACCCAAGAAACCCCGGAAAAATGATCTTACGGAACCTTACATTTTTTAATTTAACCTGACCTGAAACTTCTTCCCCAAAAAATCCACCTAACTGAAAAACCAGATAAAAAAGAAATAAATTAAAAAAAAAAAAAACTGTTCGATCGAGTTGCAAAGATCGTCAGAAGGGAGGTAGCTGGCTCATCTACCGAGGAAGGAGGGATGGAGAGGGAGCAGAGGCGAGAGAAAGAGAGGCTGCGAGGCTCTCTCAGCAGCCTCTGAGGCCGTGAGCATTGTTCCCCGTCTATTAATACACCGGGTTGCATACTAATCTCCTGCCACGGTGACGCGGAGCGTCGAGGAGGCAGAGGGTGGCAAAAAGAGAAGGAGGAGGAGGAGGGAGGAAGAGTGCAGATGCATACGTCGAGGCGTTTCGAGGCTCGCGGCCGCTTCTTGATACGCGCTCCCCTGCCCTATTATTCCATTTAGTGGCGATGCACGCGTACCGCGTTCATACTTTTCAAGAGGAACGATGGAAATTTGTTTCAGGGGATGGATGGACCTCCAATTCATTACGAATCAATGATACTTTTAAAGCAGAGAGCTCGAACGAGCCTTGATTCGATTTTGGAAGAGTTTCGATGAGTTTGATAGTGTTTGAAAGAATCTGAGAGCATGTTGAAGTATCGGAGGAGATTTTGCGATATTTAGAATATCTTGGAAGAGCATGGAAAGGACTAAGGAATTTTTTATAGGAACGTAGAAGCCCATCAAATGGCTTGGGATTGTTTGAAGATGTTTGAAAATGTTTGGAACAGTCTTAGAGTGTCTTGGAGCGTTTGGAAGAGTATGGAACAGCGTAAGAAAATATTTGAAGAAACTTGGATGACCGTGGCAGAGTTTGATCGAGTTTGGAGAAGTTTGGAAGAACTCAGATTTTATCTAAAAAGCACGGTATCTCACCTAACCCACTAGAATCAGAAGAATGTTAACCATGGCTGTGTCTCGAGGGCAAACTTGGCCGCACCATTATCGGTGACTAATAGAGAAGGAACTAGTTGACTGGCAACAAAGTCAGCTTCTGTATATGCTTGTGACGGAAATTGGCAGACAATGTCGGCCAATAACACCTACTTTCACTTCTTCTAGCGATACAACAACCTCAGGTAACCTGAGGTAGGAGATTGACAACTCCTACGTCCAATGCGCACCTAAATTAATCCACCTTCGTTTTCCCTCGATCATTTCTCAAAGAATTCACCTGAGCAACCTCTAAGATCCTCCACAAGAAGAAGAAGAACAATCGAACTATTCTTTAAAATGAAAAAGAAAAACAGAGAACTCGGAATCTAAATTTACATTTGCAAGTTGTTAGCTCGTTATATAGGGTGGCGAGGTTCGAACAAGTGGTGTTCACCATTGAGCACAATCCTTTCCTGATCATGTTACGCTAACAGACCATCATCGTACCAACAGGCCGCACGAAGCACAGGCAGACGCGTGCCAATCGTTCGTCAGGTCCTCGATAACGAAAGCGGATTGAAGTGGTCTCAGGTATGTCGAAAGGATAACCATCGAGTTGGAACAGCACGTTCCACGATCCGAAAATAACGTTCTTCTTGATAAATCGACATCGCTAAATCATTTCGAATAGCGTATAGCGTCACACAGTGTAGTGAGTTCAATAGAATTAATCGAAAGGATGCTTTCAAAAGGTTTTCCAGATATCTGCACTTCGTTGATTACCTTTCGAAAGCATCCATGAGAATTCAAGCTAAATTACTTTTCTTTTTTTCTTTATTCTTCAATTTTTCTTGGTGTATGATAAAAGACAGTGGAGACTTTCGATATCCTAGATCGGTAAATCGGTTCATGCAATAGATGATGAATAGATAGATAAAGAGAGAGAGGATCGTCGTACCTTTTGAAAGCATCCAGAGCTCCTTGGAGCTGAAGACACCTGTCGCTAGGATCGTGTCATTGCAGACAACACCGTTATATAGTTCGTGGTAGCCTGTACCTGGGAACAGAACCCAGTACACCATGAGGTGTTGCTCGTTCGACTAAACTTCTTCGACTGAGTTGTATTATGAGCATTCATTTCGCGTGATAGGACAGTAGCGGAGGAATGTTTTTTCTTCTTCTTTTTTTTTTTTATTGAGGAAAAGATACGTGGGAAAATTGAATTATTTACCTTTTCGCCGCCTCTCCTCCTCCTTGCTCGCGTTGCAGATGCCGTTTAGGACCTCTGTAACAGTCCAAGAGGATGTTTAGGTTAGTTATTGAAATTGGTCATTTTTCGAGGAACATATAGATATTATTTTGATTAATTTTACTTACATTTTGATTTCTTTATTTGTTTCAGTCGAAACGTAAAATTTCAATTATTTTATATATGCAAAATTCGTCAAAATTTCCTCGTTTTCCAAGGAATTAAGTATTTCCAAACCTACATTTTCCTACATTTTCTTTTTCTGCAAATTTCCACTTCTCATTCACCTATTTACGAAAGTTCTCATATCTCCACGTTTATATCTCGTTTTTTCACCATTTCTTCGCTATTCAAATCCAAATCTCCACGTTTTTCCCATTCGGCTCGAGAATCAACCCTTTTGTCGATTTTTCCGGATTTCTGAGGGTCGGTGGAAGATAATGGAAATTGCACTTTGAGAAATGGCATCTACGAGACGTATCCTATCTCACATTCGCTGTCACACGGTGTTTTATATCGCGGGACCTTACGCAAATCTCATTACGCAACATATCACCGAAATACACGAGAGCCCGGAACGTGTGTTCGACTTCTCGAGAGACAGAGGACAGCTTCGACTGTAGAGTATAGAAGGTGTATCTATATGTTTCTGCCTTTGTATGTGTGTAAATGTTAGAAAAAGAGAGAAAGAGAGAGAGAGATAGAGAAAATGGATAGTATAGGTTGTACATGGATGGAAATTCGGAAAAACGTTTCGCAATCGTCGCGACACCCTCGATCCTGTTGCTCGACCACGAAAAACCGACGAATGAACGGTTATAAATAGACGTTAACAAATGTACGCTCGAGCCTGGGTTATTTTTAATTGCAAGACAAGCTTATGTCGTTGTTGACTACGTCTCGATATACCATCCCCTTTTCGATAGCGAGATTTAGTGAAATTTTCCATTCGAATTGAATGCAGAGTGAGAATTCCGTTGGAAAATTGTTTGAAAGGTTGGAAATTTAGCGTGGAATGTATTAATTGCCTTTAAATTGAATACAGAGTGAGAATTCCGTTGGAATATTAATTGAAACGTTGGAAATTTAGCGTGGAATGAATGAATTGCCTTTAAATTGAATGCAGAGTGAGAACTCGGTTGGAAAATAATTTGAAACGTTGGAAATTTAGCGTGGAATGAATGAATTGCCTTTAAATTGAATGCAGAGTGAGAACTCGGTTGGAAAATAATTTGAAACGTTGGAAATTTAGCGTGGAATGAATGAATTGCCTTTAAATTGAATGCAGAGTGAGAACTCGGTTGGAAAATAATTTGAAACGTTGGAAATTTAGCGTGGAATGAATGAATTGCCTTTAAATTGAATGCAGAGTGAGAACTCCGTTGGAAAATTGCTTGAAAGATTCGAAATTTAGCGTGGAATGTATTAATTGCCTCTAAATTGAACGCAGAGTGAGAATTCCGTTGGAAAATTGTTTGCAAGGTTGGAAATTTAGCGTGGAATGTATTAATTGCCTTTAAATTGAATACAGAGTGAGAACTCTCTTGGAAAATTGTTTGAAAGGTTGGAAATTTAGCGTGGAATGTATTAATTGCCTTTAAATTGAATGCAGAGTGAGAACTCCGTTGGAATATTATTTGAAACGTTGGAAATTTAGCGTGGAATGAATGAATTGCCGCTGAATTGAATACAGAGTGAGAACTCTCTTGGAAAATTGTTTGAAAGGTTGGAAATTTAGCGTGGAATGTATTAATTGCCTCTAAATTGAATACAGAGTGAGAACTCCGTTGGAATATTATTTGAAACGTTGGAAATTTAGCGTGGAATGAATGAATTGCCGCTGAATTGAATACAGAGTGAGAACTCCGTTGGAATATTATTTGAAACGTTGGAAATTTAGCGTGGAATGAATGAATTGCCGCTGAATTGAATACAGAGTGAGAACTCCGTTGGAAAGTTGTTTGAAAGGTTGGAAATTTAGCGTGGAATGTATTAATTGCCTTTAAATTGAATACAGAGTGAGAACTCCGTTGGAATATTATTTGAAACGTTGGAAATTTAGCGTGGAATGAACGAATTGCCGCTGAATTGAATACAGAGTGAGAACTCCGTTGGAATGTTGTTTGAAAGGTTGGAAACTTTGTATAGAATTGGAGAATGTTTGACGAAGATCGTGTCAAAGTGAAGATTCATTGGAAAATACGCAAGAAAAATTGTGCATAGCATTCATAATTAATTGCCGCCAATGAAAATCATGTAAAGTAGGATTAATATAACGATTCAAGGTTGAACAGGAAAATATTACAAGATCGTGTTGTTTTCGTTGCTCGCAGAATTTATCTGGTGGATATGCCTCTGACAGGGGACATGTAATTTTAATGCTTGTCTATTTCGGTTTAGGTCAAGCAAGTAGTTCGCCTTAAAATTTTCTGCAGCTTTGAATTCACTTCGCTTCTAATTTCACGAGTAGGGAAATAAATTAAAAAATATGTATATGTATATATATAACGAGCAGATGGAACGTGTACAAATTTGTTGGTTCTGTATTCAGGAGGTTAGGGGATCGTTTTCTGGGAAACTGGATTGCGACACACCACAGTGGTAAACGAAGGATCCTCCTCTAGAGGAGTAACAGCAAAATTAGTCGGCCAGTGGTCCGTTCGGTCGACAGGTGCATGTGTGCGTCGCAGAAATTTTAGCAGACGCCGCGATAGATACAGTCTCGCTCTTGGAACAATAATAGAGAGCGGGATATGTTGACACCATGTGATGCATGAGCGCGCGCAATTTCGCCACGGGAACGCCGCTCAAGGACGGCCATTTTATTTTACAGCCTTTTCCGGGAATCTTCTCGAAAATACTGAATAAAGTACTATAAACCATCTCTCAATTCAACTCCTGATGGAATAATTTTTATTTTGTTCTTGAAAAATTCGAATTTCTTGAAAATTGAAAAATCGAAAGCTCTTGAAAGTGTTACTCCACAGAATCACAAATTTTCATACCAAAAACAATATTGCCAGCTCAACCAAAATTAAATCGATTTTTCAACAAACTTTGTTAAGCCAAAGAGAAAAGAAAAATTTCATCTCAAAGGGAGCTACCAATTTTGCCGTTCCTTTTTCCTCAACTTTTTTTTGCCAGGCGAGGGGCGAAGGACGGGAGGGGAGGATTAATCGCAGGTACGAGAATATTCATTTCAGGTATTCGCGGCGGCAGCACGAATGAAAATCAAAGATATAAGCGCGACGGCCACGGTGTTCGAAGGAGAGAGAGAACGAACCCGCTACAAGATGTCCGTCGCCTATTTATTTATAGAGCGAGCACACATCGGCACGCATGGTCACATGCTCGCGTGCACGGCACATCGAGATACACGGCAGAGTGTTGGTGAAACGCGCGTGCACGCTTTTCCCTCAAGAGACTCAACGAAAAATCCGCCATGCTTTATTTCCCCTCGCCGTTTATTTGTTAACGTGAAAGAACACTCTCCTTGTTTGCAGAAATAATACGATCACACTGGTACAAGTGGCTGATTTTATTACTGCCATGCAGGTTTTTCTCTCCCTCTCGCTTTTTCCCTTTTTTCTTGAGGGGGAAAAGTATAAGAAGTTCCTGTTTGAAATTACGATAAGTCGGAAGAAGTTATTTGATTGCTTGATCTTGGGGAATTTGATCGTTAGAGATTTTCAAGGCGGTTTTAGAATATAAATTTTGGAAGTAGAGACCCTGGGGAGTTGTAAATTGTATAGATATAGGAACGGATTATTAAAAACCCACCCTAAAGTGAAATATGGTTAACTGCTCGAGAATTGGTTTAACGTCAAACACAATTTCCTTTCTAAGAACTAAATGTGAGAGAAAACACTCTGTGAGGATAGTTAAGATATAAGAGAAGTCACGTGGCACGTTGCAAACGGAGCCTAAAGTTTCCAAGTCCTTTAAATCATAAGAAAATACAGTCGCAATGAACCAGAACTTCCGCTTCGAGAATTAAACGTGACAAAAATTAAGACAGAGGAGGAACCACGTGACAGTTGGATTACTTGCCGTATTATAAACGCGGCATAAGGTCTCAAGGTACCTTTGACCATCGAAAATTGGACTCAAAGTGAACCAAAACATCCTCTTTGAGGATTCATTCTCGTCTGATTGAAAATTCAGATCGAGAAGAAGCCACGTGGCACGAATTGGTCAGTTCCCGCGTTGTAAACGCGGCATAAGGTTTCCCCGGTCTATTCCGGCTGTCGCCGGATTATCGAAGTCATACGGCGTGGCTTTTCCTGTGGACTTTTCGTGGTGGCCCGTCTAAAACGGACCCGCTGCACCGATGGCATCGCGAAAATGCGACGTGTCCAAGAACGACACGCGTCTCGAGGCACCTGTCCTCTCTCTAACACTTTCATAAGAGACGATGGTACTTACGCAACCGGCCAGCCGGGCGATATTTAGCTCTTAGGGCGAATACGCAGCGCCTCAACGAGCAAAACCCCCTCTCTCTCCCTTTTCTTTCTCGATCGACTTATATTTTTCTCAATTGGAAACAATCATTTTTCTCTTGGTCCAATGAGAACACATGTTTAATACTGTGGAATTCGTTTCGAGTGTTACTTGACATGTTGACTTTAGGGTAAGTTTGTATGTAAAGAGATAAATCAAAGGAGAATGTTTAATTGTTTTCGGTGTGAGGAAAGTGGTCGAATGGGAAGTTTACTGGAAACAGACAATTAATAGCGTGGAATGTTTCAAGTGTTGTTTGAGCATGTTGACTTTTGGGCGAGTTTATATGTAGACTGGTAAACCAAAGGAAAAGGTGTTATTTCCTTTCTCGTTTGCAGATATGAGTGAAGTTTTTTAGAATGAATGGGACACGTTAATTGAAGCGACTACTGAAATTGATTTTGCTAACTCCTTGGGCTGGTTTCTATGTACAGTAACACTTTAAACTTAAGCATCCAATTTTCTTCTCTCCTGAGAGTGAAAATGAGCTTTAGTACAGTAAAGAAGACATAGAAAATATTCTCTACCTTAAACTT